TGAAATCCATTCTGTGTTACATGTCTGAATATTTAGTGCTGACGATAAGCAGACAGATGCTTCAAAAGTTTCAGTGTCTGTTCCTGCACTGTATCTGCGGCCAGTTCATTCTCATGCAAATGCTAAAAAACATCTCTCCCTTTCTACCTCTGCATTCAGAACCGAAACGCAGATATTTAAATACATTTATTGGACGGTAAATCTTATTGCACCAAAAGAGTAGTAAATGTACTTTGCACCAGCGAGGGTGAACATTTTTCCTCCTCATGATGTGTGATGACCGCTCTGCTGCTCTCTGGGGGATTTTCAACTACTAACATTTATCTTGCTTTGCAAAAAAATAAAATAAAATAAAATGCAGGAAGCAGGATTCGGTTGAGATGGTGAAACTCTGCAGCTCCAGTCCACTCACAGGACAGAAAGAGTCATAGCTCTGTTGCCATGGCGTCTAACTCTCAAACACTGCGTCAGGTGCGTGTGTGTCTAAGTGGCCGTGTGTGAGTGTGTTGAGTGTTGAGTGTTGGTGGAGCTGTGTGGGTGTGTGTTTGTATCAGGTGGGTGTTACCGTGTGACTCAGAGCCACATCACTGACTTGGCTCAAATACATTTTAGGGTGTTTGGAAAAAATTATCAAATGGGTGTGTGTGTGTGAAAGTGTGTGTACTCGGCCTCTTTTCACTCTTATGGTTGATGACAGAAAAGCAATGGTTTTTATTCAGGGGGAATTAAACCAATGTCCCCAAAAATAATAAATGTGCAGAAAGAACTTCACGTCAGTGTCACTACTGCGTCATGTCTTCTTTTCACAGTGTGTGTACAGTAGGTCACCTCTGTTTTCCAGTTATGCTTAGCCTAACGTTTTCACTGCTCTCAGCTGCAGTGTTGTGCTGCTGTATTCGTTTACTATTGAGCAGCAAAACATCGACACTATCGTATTTTTCTCAATATATGCCAATGATATAACATTTCTTTAACAATATACTATATTCTTTACCCAGTGAATTTATTGCTACGAGAACCCTGGTTCATAGAAAGGCCTACTGTTGACCCCACCCACTCCCATAATTCCACAGATTATGCTTTTAAACTCCACTGACATTTTAAACATAAATTAGAGTGGACCCCCTAGATACGAGTTTCCTAAAATACGAGTATTCCATGATACAAGGAACTACCTAGTTACGAGTGCTCGACCAGGCTCCATTTTTCCACCCGGATTTGAAAACGTGGCCCAGACACAGATTGGTTTTTAGTTATTTTGAATGGGAATACACACGAGTGCTGCTGTGAAACAGATTAAACCTGTATATCCACTGGATAGAGGCAGTCCACTGTATATGTATATAGATACATATACATGGAAAGATAAACTGGTGTTGATTGTACAGAGCCTCGTTCCCCAAAGCCACCACTGATGGATCACTGCACTGCTCCAAGTGTTAATGTTTGGTCCAAGATTCTATAAATATTTAATACTTCATTCATGGAGACAAATCAACACACTCCAGTTCAATTTTACACCTGGGAAGTCACTGTCCTGTGACCATAAAAGGCCCTGCAGCCGTCCTCCACAGTTGGCAGCACAACGATACGTCTCCCAGCGTGGACACGTTGTAATGACAACGTAATTGTCACTTCAGCCTTTTCATTACACTCTGATTTGTTTATGTTTTCCCAGGAAATGTTTCCCAACTGTCACAGTTACACAGTGGATGGAACAACAGTTCTGTCGACGGCTCAGTAAATCAGCTGTCTTTATATTTTAATCTGAAGCTCAGTCTTAGAGGGTTTATTTCTGCACAGAAATGTTTAACATTCATCCATTCAGAACCAGTTCATTTACGTCACAGCTACTGAGACCAGACAAGGCTTCTGTTCTACAGTTGGTTTCCCTCTACAGCTCCTGGCCTGATCTACCTGCTGCTGAAGTCATTAGTGAAGTCCACTGTGTCTGTGTACAACGACAATGTCAGTTACACCAGGTCTGTACAGGTCTTCAGCCAATCACAACCCCCTGACAAAGGTCCAATTAGATCAATGAACCTGGTCCTCTATCATTCTTGGAACATGGGAGGAACCTGGAGAAAACCTCACACAGGTAGAACATGAAAAGTCAACCAGCAAACCAGCGATCTGGAACCACACTTTCACCAAACTCCAAATGAAAAAACAGACAGATGTCCTGAATGACCTTCTGAATGACCCTGTTCATTTTTGTACTTTAATACCATCAACTCACCAGTTACCAGGAAAAAGACAGGAAACCCCAATCTTGTGCTAACAACAACACTGCAAACAACTGTCACATAATAACGCCTCCCCAGAGATCCAAAAAACAACAAACAAAATCTGTGAATCATCCACCTCCAAACGTTTATTATGATAACCTGGTTTCAAATGGTCTGAGATTATCATCGTACCGCCACTGACAAAACTACTGTACCAAAAAGTTATTAATGTGAGGGACAGCAAAAAAACAGAGAATCCCTGTTTTTCAGCACCAATAAACTCCAGTTTATTTTCCATGTTTTCTTTAAATTTTGGATAGATACAATCTAAAAATCTAAAATGGGTTTTTAGTAATACTTAAAATGGTTAGAATGGTTGAATATATTATAGAGGTTCCCATTCATGTTTGATGTCAAAAACATTCTAGTTTGCTCAGACTAACGTGAACATGTTAGAAATCCTTCATAATCAGAACATCTTAGAACTTTTAACAGATTACTGTAGCATTTATGTGTTTTTAATTATGCATTATTTTTTAAGATTTCTTTTAAAACGAAATGAATCTTTAAATAAAACACAAGAAAATCCATTACTGAAGATAAAAAAAGTTACAGTTACAATACTTGTACTGTGGAAGTAAAAACAGCTTACAGAGAAAAGTCTGTTCACTGGTCTGTAGTTCCTGCAGTTTAATGCACACTAAGGTTTGCTGATGCTGCTCTGTCTGCAGAAGAAAGGATGGGAATATTTTCGAACATGACCTTCTAACCTCTATTTCCTTTTGACACAGAAAAAATCAGGACACAGATACACGAGCATATGTCCCTCCTGCTCCACATTATTACAGACAAGAACTTGAGGGGGGTGAAAAAAAAGGCAGCCAAGTCCAGAGTAATCCATAAATCATCTTTGATTCGTCTTGTTAAGTAAAGCCAGAGTTGGACAACGAGCAAAGAAGCGTCAGTCAGAAAACCACCAGGATTTCACCCCAGTGGAAATTCCAGCAGTGTGACCTAGTGTGAGGTTTTCAACATGCAGCAGAGTCCTGCTCTATTTCTGAACATCTAAGGTCAAATCATAAAACTGATCTATTTGGGTCTGTAAAAACTCCACGACCTTGCAAAGCTTTGTGTTTCCGTCTTTCTGGTCTGGAAGCCACAGAAATTCTGTTCCCAGAACGTGATCTCACACAGAGTCTGTTCTGTCCTTTGGTAACATAAATCAAAAATACTTCTTTCAAAATTGTTCACTACTAAAATAAATATAACGTGATCACAGTTAGGGAGGGGCTCAGTTATCTGGTTGGGCTCATGAACATCATATGTTCTGCAGGTTTAAGGCGGTTGAAGGCGGAGCCACAAAGATTTCATCCAGTTTTTCTAATGATGACCAACAGCAGTCTATGAAAATCCAAATAAAAAAAAATATTTCTCTACTTCCTCAGTTTCTTGCAGCAGTGGAATTGTTCTTCTTTCTCCCTGTATGTGGCGCCATTCCACCCATTCCTTTTCATGTTAGTGAGAGGTTTCAGTCATCTTTTAAGACTTCCCACATCTGCAATATAATAAGTCACTAAAGCACAGATGTCAAACTCATTTTCATCAACAACACAGTTCTCCTTGAAGACTATAGATGTAACCACTCCATAATGTATTAATAAATGTTTCTCCAGCTGAATGTTATTTATTCAAATTACAAATGTTTGAATACAAATATGAACACATATTGTTCATTGCTGTGTAATAAAAAAAAAACTTTTAATTTATAGGTTAAGAAATTTTGCTGCATGGCCATACAATATGACTTGGTGGGCCACATTTGGTCCCCGGGCCTTGAGTTTGACAATTTAATCATATACATCCACACACAGACACACAAATAAACTGGAATGTACTTTAAAAATAACATTTTCTAGAAGTTATTCCTCAATCTGTATGTTACATTGAGATCGTAACTGATTTCGTAAAGGGCTTCAACGTTTGGGCTGGGGGCAGATGAGGGGCTAAATGTCACATTTGGGGTCATCAGTTTGAGTCCCACGGCTGCAGTTGTAGTTCCCTCTTTTATCTGGCACAGCTGATGCGGTGGCGAGCCTCAGTGGCTCAGTGTTTAACCACGGAGTGACCCAGCAGATCAGCGTCAGTGGTGTTCCGTAATGAACGGTCATTTTGTAGAATTAGCTGCTGTGTTATTTAGTTTCTCTAACAAAGAGCCACACAGACATGAGGACCAAATGAGGATTCAACGTTTAATTGCCTCATTAGGCCTAATGAGCACTATTACTATAATTTGATGTAACATTTTTCTGACAAATCACCGGAATACCAACTGGTTAAAACACATTTACATACATTTGTCATTGGATAAACGTTTGGCTGATGTGAGCCAAAGGTCAGCGGTCCTCACATGTAAGAAAAAGACGTTTCACTTCTGGGGCTGGTGATGCTCAACATATTTAATATTATTTAAAATAAATAAATGTTTAAATACAGGAAGAACACATGGACACTTACGACAGTGATGTTAACTAATGTTATGTTGACAAATGTTATTCTTTAAGATCATTCATCAGCAGAGCATTATCCTGATGAGCAACAGGCAGAGAAGTTGCAGGTTCCACCGCCTGTCGGGTATTATAACTGTCTCCCCCGTCTGTCAGGGGAGTGATTTTGCGTCTTCTCCTCAGAGGCAGAAACAGATAAACAGATCATGTTGTCAGGGCAGCGCTCGCTTTTTTTTTTCATGGACAGAAAAAAAAAATCTGTTCTTACCTGCCTGTCGTCTCCGCTCCGCTCTGCGTCTGAACGTACACTCACGCACGATGTCCACAAGCAGGAACTGATGAATCGACACCACTTCAACCTTACAGTGAGCAGTGCATTATGGGCTCTCTATCTCCCTCTCCCTCTGGCTCCCTCTGGCTCGGTGTTAAGGGGGATGTCCTCTCGCCTCGTCTGGGTGGAGGAGGAGAGTGAAATCACACACTGGGTCTGCACACACACTCAAACACACACACAGACTGCAGAAGAAGAAGGAGCCCCATGATGATGAGTGCCGCTGCCCTGGTTGCCCTGGCAACAGCCACCCTCTCTCCCTCTCTCTCTCTCTCCCTCTCTCTCTCTCCATCTCCTGACTCCCCCTCTGTGGCTTCTAGTAGAATAGTAAGACAAATTCTGACAAAAAACACACACAAAATAATAATGAAAATAACCCCACAAATTTGACAAACTAATGATTTGACTTTTTACTTTTCTTTGAAACGAACACTGAGTGTGAGGTTGAGCCGCTGCTGCAGAGACGGCAAGAACTCAGGCTTGAAATCACACGAGTGAAGAAACTGTTGCTTCTGCCTTCTCAGATAACAGGACGGGGGGAGGGGGGGGGGTATACGTACGTGCACATACGTGGAACCACTGTTTGTGATCACGGTCATTTTTGCTGATGCGACGTGCGGTGACCACTGAGGCCTGCAGCACTTTGATAACATACATTAGTGGAAGTCACAAAACACAGCGAGAGGTCACACGTGCACACGGACAAAACCAAGCAAAAGTACCTGGCGTACTGAAATATATTTCCACACTCCTGTCTTTAATTGGTTCATTCACTAACACAATTAATACGGAGTGCTTTATCAGGAATAAGAGGCTCGGCAGTCAGATAAGTGAAGGAGGAGGAGAGAGAGAGGGAGGGAGGTAAAGAAAAGGTAAGATAAGAGAGACTGAAGGTGAGGCAGCAGAAAAGAGACCTTGCCTTCACCGTCTCCCATGGTGACAGAGTGGGTGGAAGGCTGTTGGTGTCCTTGAGTCCTTATAAATCAACAGCTTACAGCTGAGCCCTGCAACACAACCTGGCTGATTACTTTAATGTCTTCCCTCACTTGTTAATTTTTCATCCAACACTTATCTCCCTCCCTCCCTTCTTCCGTCCCCCCTCATCAGTCTCTGGTGCTTGAACTGACCCACTGAGATCCAACCTCAAACCTACAGAATCCTCTGTGTCACCGAGTGAGCGTTCGTTCGTTTATCATTATCAGAGCAAGAGGGAAAAAAAACGGGTTCAGGTACAAAGGAACTCCACATCATTTCTGAGGCGATAATTCATCTGTGGCTGCAGTGGATTTATTCTCCTCATCACAAAAGCTGGGATGTTAGACGGTAAACTCTGACTACACTCAGTGGAAGATGGAAGATGTTAGTGAATGAACAGAAGGAGACTCATTTTCCCAAAGACTTTTCTTTATTCATGTAGCGTTACTACAGATACGAGTGTCTTCAGACTTCTTTCACAACTTCACAGGGAGCTCCAGTGCTCCCAGGGGCTGGGCCGTCACAGGAAGCTCCTGGGACCGCTACACCAAGTGAAGACCGCCACGGTGTCTTTCCTGCCTCTACCACACAGCCGAGGAGGACAAGAACTTTCTGAAAACCTCACTTCCACTGACAACTCCATCAACAGGGTCTCTAACATCTGATCCTGCCACATCTGGTCTCCCCCAGCCCAGGTTTTGACCTGGTTTTGTCCAACATGACTGTGATATCAGATATATGCAGTACCTGATGTAGTATCTGATGTACAATCATAACATGATTACCTCAAATAACGATAACTCCATGATTATTCCCCTCTTGTTTTCTCCTGCAAATAAGTAGAACTATATTAGAAAATATTCATATTTATTCAAATATAATTTGACAAAACATCACTAACAAGTGAATAGGCAGTTTTTTTTTTACTTTCAAAATTCATCAACCGGGCCGGATTGAACCCTCTAGCAGGCCAGTTCTGGCCCACGGGCCATATTTTTGACACCCCTGACCAAGACTGTGTTTTAAAGCTAGAAATATCTGCTAGAGATCACATGGGGGACAAAAGATGGTAACAGCCCAATGGTTTTGATTGATCAGCCACAAAAATCCACACCTGTTGTAGACTGCTGCGTGATTCCCGGTTGCCATGGCGACAGATGGTAGCTGTGCTCCACGTATCCATCACTGTTGATGTTACAGCAACAACGATATGTCAGTGGGTTTGGAACAGAAGGGAAGCAGGAGCGGGGGACCGGGGGAGGGGAGTAAGGTGGGAGGCGACAGGTTGTAGTCACTATGTGTGGGAGACACACTGTCCACAGAGACAGGCCACACATTTAGTTGGACTTTCTTCATCAACTCTACAGAGAAAAGTCTCACCTTCAGCCTGAACTCTGAGGCCAGACTAATGAAGGGTCCTTGAATCTGAGGGACCCTGAATAATCTGAATAAGTGATTCAGATTTGATTAGTCTGCTCTTTGAAGACTAATGAGAGCAGCAGGTGTCCACAGGCTCCGTGGTCCTCTGCTGTTCATTCACACACTTAGCACACGTGCACGCACATGCCATTTTTCCATGGACTGTTATTTGTCCTGCTCCGTCCTGATTGGCACTGTTTGGACATAGATGTCAAAACACATCTTTAGCAAATACATGTGAAGACATCGGAGATGGAGGAAAAAAGTAGGAGATTTGAGGAAGTTTGGAGAAAGGATTTAAGCAGCTGTCGGGAATAAACTGTCCTTCTCTGCTTCTGTTTTTTTTTTTTTTTTTACTGCAAAATATTTCACTACCGGTAAATAAAAAGTGGAGCTAACACGGCATTTTTTAAAACTTGCTTTTGGTAAAAGTGGAAGGGCAGTACTTCTACTACTCCCACTCAACGGGGGCCGGGGT